AACTCCATTTTTTCAACTTTTCTGATTTATCATGACTTCTTGTAGGCTTATGCTTAATCTTTGTTACTTGACCTGCCCTCCTACCAGCTTCTGGCAAAATCCCTCTGGCAAATATCCAGAGCACTGTCCCTTCAATGGGAGCCCCTCAGAATAAACTCTATAAAATATATCAGCTCAATAACCTGGTAATTTGATACTGTTGTTGACTTCTACTTTTATTCTTATCCCTGGTAATGAATTATACACATGGGATGGAGAGGTAATTGTTGCTTCTGAGTTGTATACAATAATTTCAAATGGAAATAATCAAGACTGGAGCAAGTTAAATAGACTCACTTTGTGGAGAGTTTATAACACATAGGCTGCATTCTAAGGAGCGCTGTATGCATCACCAAATTGAACTTGGCACATCTATCACCTGCATGTCAGCCTCTCCTGTTCAGCAGCTGGTTACACATCCGTTCACATCTCTAAGTCTCCGTTTCTTTGTCAGCAATAGAGGGAGAGTATACAAGGGCCTTGTTTGCAGTTAGAAGGACCAAATGAGTGATGCATGGGAATCAGTTGTATATCTTTAAAGTATATAAAGGTCCTATTTTGGTCTCCCTCCAACACTACCCATCTAACTGGTTTGTAAAATCACTCAGGGAGAGGCACACCTTACAGCACCAGAGTGAACAGAAGTTTCCACAGGTCCTCGCTTGCATTGTGTTTAAAGGTACAATTAATTCACATAATTTGTTCATTTTTTGACACTATTTGAATATTCTGAACAAGGAGTACTTTTCAGTTACAAAGCCATGTCCACCATCCAGGTGAATCCCCAGGCTTAATTATTCTAACTTTTAAAGAAATTAAAAGCTCAACTAGAGTTTAAATAGAATAAAAGCTATAATGTGTTTTCTCTATGAAACAATGAAATAATCTCTGCCATTTAAATTAAAAATAAAATGGGCCAAAGGGGCTTTAACATCTTTGTAAATGTACATTTTCTACTTAAAAACAACAACAACAAAACACAAAAAACAGTCTTCATTAGTTACATTGTTATTCAGTATTTCCTCTCTTCTCCCTCTTCTCCACTCCTGTCCCCCACTCTCCCCAGGCTTCAGGCACCTGGTCTTTAGAACTTCCACCTCAACATTCCTGCAGTTAAACAGGAATCTACTGCAGGAGGGGAGAGGATGGACAGGGAGCCATGGAGACAAACCGACAAACATTCTCGTGCGCCATTTGGAATCTTACCTCCCAAGACTTTATGTCACCAATTCAAGTTTAAATGTTCAGGGTTCTCTTTTGAAACTTTTGACCAACACTCTTGTGAACTGAACCACTCACTCCTCCTTAGAACAAGCAATATGACAGGGAAGTCTGTTAAGTCACGGAAGTAAGACTGAAGACGTGTTTGTGTCTAAGTGGAGATATTAAAGTAATCAGACTCCCTGGGCCCATCTTTGTGTAAAAATCAAACAAGCAACTATTCTCTGTAGGACTGGCGGTAACGTTTCACATCATTCAGAAATTCTGAGTTCCTTCTCCCACCATTTCCTTCTTTGTTCAAATTATAGTTGGAAGGAATAAACAGCTTCTATCCAGGCAACTGAAAACAGCCTACTTAAGAACACCATAGAGGTTCCGTGTCGGTTATCAATTTTGAGTTTACATAACAAACCATAAAATCTTTGCAGCTATCAACTAACTTAACAGGAAGAAACAAGGGTTTCACTGGGCCCTACCTGTTTCCTTCACTAAGATCCATAGGCTAGGTAGGGATAGGGAGATGGGATGGAAACTCTGCAGTTGGGGTATTAAAGTTTTCATTGAGAAAAAGGAGAGAATATACCCAAAAGTCTTCATGGAGTCCCACAAGACACTAAACACAGCCATGAACAGGAAGGGCCAACTGGAGTGTCTCAGGCTGAATGAGGATGGAGGAAAGAACACTGGGAACACTGGGGTACTGTACAGGGAAAGAAACTGGCCAGACATGATGCGAAAAAATAAGGGGTGGGAATGCCAGGAAGAGCCAGGTCTTAGAAAGCTGCCCCAGGCAAGAAGGAGCCTGAGGTGTTGGTGCCCGACTAGGGATCCTGGGGTCAGCAGAGCCCAGAGGTGTGACTGAGAACATTGAACACCTGCCACCTCCTTACCTTCGGGCAATTGCAGGTCACTGAGGCGCAGCACAGGGACGCCTTTGGTGAAGACGAAATCCAAGAACTCAAAATCCCCATCAGCTCGGCCCGCCTCACGGTCATGGTCACAAGACTCAGGGGCCGGATGCACCGACTCAGATTCCCGGCCCCGCCTGCGGCTGGCCTTGGGCTTCAAGCAGCAGGTGAGTTTGTTCCCCATGAGGAACCTCTACTCGCGCTGCTGTCACTGCCTTCACTCAACAGTCCCCCTAACCACCCCCCCCCCCCCCCCAAAAGGGCAAACCCAGGGGCCCCTGCCCCCCCCCCCCCGCTGTCAG